AGCGATAAACCACGCGCTGGGGGCGTGATGCCCCCCAATCACGGCGCCCACGTTTTTTTGAAAATATAAATTATGGCACAAACACGGCGCAAATTCAACCAAACTTCGGCGAGTTCGTTCATATTTAAAATATTTTACAAAAAGGAAAAAAAGCTACTAGGTTGCTCCTCGCCGTCTCCCTCGCCGCCCACCGCCCTTGCAGATCTACATGCCGAGGAGGCTGTAGAACCGCGTGTAGTCGCCGCCGCCGCCGTCGTCGTCGTCGCCTCCGCCGCGGCCGCCGTCCTTGCTGCAACCCTCCCCCGGTTGGCGTGGCGGGTTGGACGGTCCGGGGGCGTCTTCGTCGTCGTCGCTGTCGAGGATCACGACGTCGTGCTCGTCCTCGCGCCCACGTTTGCGGGCGGCTATCTCCTCCAGGGCCCGGCGCTGCCGGACCATCTCGTCGCAGAGGTAGTCGTCCCGCGCCCACTGCATGGCGTCCTCGTCGGAGATGCCGTGCCGGGCTATCTCCTCGTACTCCGCGGGGAGGCCGGGCTTCGGCTTGGGTGCGACGAGGACGTGGCGGCTAGAGGCGGGGGTGGAGTCGCCGATGCGGACGCCGGAGCTGCGGGTGCGCCGGCTGACAGGCGTGTCCTGGGGCTCCGGCTTGACGGGGCGGAGGCAGGGGGAGCCGGTCGACCGACCTGATGAGGAGGAGGACGCCCCGGGGTCCATGCACCTCGGCGTCCACAAGCTCCCACGACGGCGAGAGAAGGACGGGGGGGAGGGGTACTCCAGCCTCGCGTGTTGCCGCCCTCGATGTACTCGAGGACGGCCTCCAGCGTGCGGCCGGGCACGTCCCACCATCGGCGCCGCCCCTCGGAGTTGAGCCTACCAGAGGGAACGACGTCGTTGGTGGCCTCGAGCTGCTCGGCGTGGCGGCGGCGAAAGTATGGCTCCCAGAGCGGGCTGTTGGGGACATAGCGTGGCCCCTCCCTCGCCGCCCGCGGCAGGGAGGCGTGGATACACGCGATCTCCGCGCATCGCGCCGCCCCGGTGGGCGGTGGTGGTACCGGGACCCCGCCGGCGCTGATTCTCCACGCGTCGGGTACCCGCATGTCCGGCGGGACCGGGTACTCGGCCTCGAAGAGGAGCCGAGCTTCGTCCTCGTGAAGGTGGCGGCGGCCGAAGCCGTTCGCCGCCGCACCGTCGCCTGGGAAGCGTTCGACCATTCTTTGAGCTGGAGACGGCGAGAGGAGAGGGAGGAAGGGGGAGAAAGGTGGCGTCAGCGGTGGAGACTCTGTGCGTGACACCGGCGCGCTGAGGGTCGACTTCATGTAGGCGGAGGCGCCGCGCGTACGCGTGGCCGTGATAACCCACAAGTATAGGGGATCGCAATAGCTTTCGAGCGTAGAGTATTCAACCCAAATTTATTGATTCGACACAAGGGGAGCCAAAGAATATTCTCAAGTATTAACAGCTGAGTTGTCAATTCAACCACACTTGGAAACTTAATATCTGCAGCAAAGTGTTTAGTAGCAAAGTAATATGATAGTGATGGTAACGGTAGCAAAAGAGTAATGAAAGCAAAGTAATATTTTTGGTATTTTGTAGTGATTGTAACAATAGCAACGGGAAAGTAAATAAGCGTAAACCAGTATATGGAAAGCTCGTAGGCATTGGATCAATGATGGATAATTATGGCGGATGCGGTTCATCATGTAACAGTCATAACATAGGGTGACACAGAACTAGCTCCAATTCGTCAATGTAATGTAGGCATGTATTCCGAATATAGTCATACATGCTTATGGAAAAGAACTTGCATGGCATCTTTTGTCCTACCCTCCCGTGGCAGCGGGGTCCTAATGGAAACTAAGGGATATTAAGGCCTCCTTTTAATAGAGAACCGGAACAAAGCATTAACACATAGTAAATACATGAACTCCTCAAACTACAGTCATCACCGGTAAGTATCCCGATTATTATCACTTCGGGGTTAACGGATCATAACTCATAATAGGTGACTATAGACTTGCAAGATAGGATCTAGAACTCTCATATATTGATGAAAACATAATAGGTTCAGATCTGAAAT